GTCAATACCTTATATGTATCTTCAAGTCAGTTATTTTACTAGACTAGGTAGTTTCTCTATAATACTAAGACCCTGCTTACTGAGGGCAAATACCACTGATAGAATCACAATAAAGTTTTGCTTCTATTCCACATTTAGACATCTGGTTAGATTTTTAGCAGCGTGAAGTTGGTTCTTGCCTGTATCAAGATGACAAATTTAGGTGTTGGAAGGGTAGAAAATTAGGTAGTTAGGAACATGGGTGCTTAACAGCAAGATGAGACTGCTCTGGTTTATTCTCGTATCCTTATTTAGCCTGTTTCACTTACTGTAGTTCAATTTTAAATATTGTTTACCAGCTGCATTCAGTTTCTGTCATATAAACCTGAAATGTGCTAGAGAAAATAAGACAAAATAAATTCATTTTTCTGTTTATCTTTTAACTTAATATTTCAGGATCAGACTTGGCTTGTATTCCAGGCTCAGGGTGTCAGAAAATTTAAATAATGCACAACACTTAGGCTTATTTTCAATACCCTTCTTTTGTTATGGCCATTTAGACGAATTTTAGTGATGGTCGGAGGCTTCTAAATAGGAGGGCAGTAACTCCTGTAAATACCAATATCCAAATGGTGTCTCTCTGTTCCAGCCCATCGCAACAGTTTTAAAACCAGTTTTTGTTTTTGTTTTTGTTTTGTTTTGTTGCTTTGTTTTGTTTTTTAACAGGAGAGCCAGTGTAACTCCTTCAAGACTGGAGTGACACTCTGCATCTGCATCTGCCTCATGTGAGTTCTCATTTTGGCAGCAGCACTCTGCTAGGCTGGAACCTCTGTAGAGGTTTGCCCTTCCTTTTTCTAAAATCTATAAACTACTATACACAAGTGTGTCTTGGTGGCAAAGGTAACAAGTGCATGAGAATTTTAGACTTCCCTGCAGAAAGATTCTGGCTCCTTTCGGAGATGGTCTCCTCTAACATAGGTTCTATCTTGTATGCACAACATTTCTCAAAACAGAGCCTGTAACTTTCATCCCCACAACACATAGTTGGTACTTTCTGGAGAACTGTGTTTTCCTTACAGATTATGGAGTAAGGAATATCTTTAAGTGCTCTCAGTAGCTTCAGCTTTCAAAGCTTTGGTGGTTCTCTTTATAGTCTAGTTACGTAACCCGAGAACACCGTGTACTGCTCTGGTGGCTGAAGCACTCCTCTTTTTTGGACTCTGGCCCTTGAAATAACTTCTTCCTTTGTCTTTGAACTTCGGGCAAATTAGGTTAGGCCTGAGGACTTTTTCGAAGAAGAAATAAGCAGTGAATGTGTGAGGTTATGCTTACTCGGAACGTATTTTGGCTGTGTTTTGGAAAGTCAGTTGTAAGAATTGAGCTTGAAGTTATCATTTACTTGCCAGTTTTGCAAGAGAAATTGAAATTAGAGCCTTCGCAGCTGTGGAGAGGCCTAGAGCCATACAGTCGGAGGTGATGCATATGGTTCCCCACAGGTATCAAGGCTGACTTTAAAGGGCCTGGTAATTAAAAAAAGGGATTTTGCTTTTATTTATTTATTTTTCAAGGAATGGTGATACTTTTTAGGCTTTGGGACTAGTCATTTTTGCTACCAGGTCAGAACAAAGTGTGACTATTCAATTCATTCCCAAGGGACACTTAGAACAAAACATCTAAACTTGTGATCTCTGCAGCTACAGTTCTGCTTCTCCAGCCCTGCTTGTACTGTATAGTGTTCTAGTGATGATTTAATGACCTGGGAATTCGTGTTACTGAAATGATTATCTGGGAAGCTTATGAGAAAATGTCAATAGCTTGTAGGTCTTACTGATTAATATAGAGCTTAGTGAAATAGATAAGTGTTGTCAAAGTGGAACTTGAACTCTCTTTGCTAAATCCATTCTCACCTGTGACTAGAGCAGTTTATTTTGGAGTAGGTGAAAGAAACTGGAGGGAGGGTAGTGTGTTTCAACACCTAGGCTTAAGTTTTGATGGCCTATGTAATCTAGACATTCATTTTTAACAGTGATAGTATTTCCCTCCACAAAGAGCTTGTATGAGACTCAGGGAGCCCTAAATTCTGGTTTAAGTTTACATTTGTACTTGCTATGTAACTTCAGGTCAGCAAATGGGGAAAATACATTGTATTTTTAGAAAGTACCCTAAACTCATTGGGTAAAAAGAAATTTAAAGTATTTATTTCTGTAGGTGGAATTTAGAAAGTCACCTCAGTTGAACACTTGGGAAGTTCTGTCCTGGAATAAAGATAAATGTGGCAAGTGTATAGTGTTTTATTTTCTGCTGTTTTAGGATTTGTGCTGGCAAAATGGGGATTTGAGATATCTACCCCCCCCATATTTTTTTTCTTCACTAAAAATTCTGAAAAAATAGATTTGGGTTTCAATCCAAAATGTCTCAAAAACACTGGTTTTAATCACCATTACTCCATCACTATAATTACCTGATCTCTAACTAGGGAAAATGGCTCATTTAGGGGTGAGCTTGGGTGGGGCTGATTAAGGTTTGTTTGGTTTTTTTTTACCATTCTTAAGGTGTATCTAGCAAATTATTCTTCTGAAAAAAATTAATAATTGAAAATATTTTATATGGGCCAAATCCTATAAGAATGAATGTCAGTGGATTATCCAAATTGTTTAACTATACTGGAATTTTGTTTCATTAAATATTGTTTGAAATAAGTGGGGCTTTGTTAGGATTGAGAACGTTTTTGTTTTATGGAAATTTTGTTAAAAGAGATTTACTCTCAGTTGGAGTGGAAGCACAGTGTTGGGTGAGAGAGATTATTTTATATTCTCAGAATAATTCAGATTGACACCAGTCAATACTACTTTCCTGGTTTTATTATAATACACCAGCTCTTACTCTTTTAGTGTGTATGAACATACAAGCACTTCCTTTACCACAGTGTACATCATTTAGATTAAGAATTCCACACTCCTGGATTCCAAAAGGGGTTTTTTTTTTTTTTTGGTGGGAGAGGGTGACGATGGGTATGGAATTGAACAGAGAAAATATATTTTTTTTTTTTTGAGAATATTAGTGTAGCATTAGCATTAGATAATTTTTACCCCTGAGATGACAAATGACAGCTACTTTTGGCATTGTTCTGAGGAGATGAGACTCAAGCGCCTCCTTCTCCTAAAGGGCCTTAAAAATTTTAGGCTTTTTTAAATATGACAAATGTTTATTAAAAGATTCTGAAAGGTCACCCTGCTTTTTTAACATTACAACTTAATTTAAAAATAACAGATACATACATTAATATGTTACAAGTTGTAAAAGTACAGAAGGTACACGAAAGTACACTTCCTTCCCCATCTCTTAGCTACTCAGGTCCCTTCTGTGGAGGTGACCAGTATTACTGGTTTCTTTTATGTAGTTCCAGAAATATTCCATAAGATTGCTTTTGGCAAGGAAAAGTTGAATAGTACTCATTAAGATATTAGCACTAATTTGGGTCGGCAGACTAATTGCAGTGAAAAATCAGTTTGAGCCATAGACCATTAATTGTGGATAGAAGAACAACAGTAATATAATAATAACAACAACAACAACTGCATTATTGTGAGATAAAAGTGAATGGATTTTTTTTTGCCTCATTTGGCATTTAAAGATTGAAGTTCTTTTTTATTTTTCTTTTTAATACAGCTTACCCACTCCTAGAGACTGAATGAAAGATGCTTACCTAAATATTGCATTTGGAGGAAACCTATTTAAAGGAGCAACATTTTCTTTATGCTGAACTGCAGTGATGATTCTAAAAAGTTTTTTTATTATAGAATATTTCAAAGATACATAATAGAAACCCCCATATTAAAAAATCCATTTTATTTCACCTGTAACAAATTCAGTAGGCTTTTTTGGTAGATAAGGATATATATATATATATTTTATACATACACTTGCATATACCCATCCTTCTATAATCACATCTCATAAAATGAGTCCTAATTCTTTTTAAATGTGCATTTCCAGTTTTATTCAGAAATAATTGACATATATCACTGTATAAGTTTAAGGCATACAAAAAAATAAGGCATACAGCATGGTGGTTTGATTTACATATATTGGAAAATGATTACCATAATAGCTTCAGCTAACATCCATCTTTTGATACAGGTAAAATAAAAAGAATAAAGGGAAAAAAATTTTTTTTTCCTTGTGATGAGAATTCTTAGGGTTTACTCTCTTAACATTCCTGAGTGGTGTTAGCTAAAGTCCTCATATTGTCCGTTACATCCCTAGTACTTATTTGTGTTATAACTGGAAGTTTACATTTTGATCACCTTCCTCCAATTCTCCCTCCTCCTACCCCCAGTCATAATTCTTTAATATCTAATTCCTGGTACACATCCAGATTTTCCTAATTGTCCCAGACATGTCTTTTTATGGTTGATATTGCAGCAATAACTTAAAATGCAAATTTGATGGCTTTATATTATTGTTAGTGCTGATAAGAAAACAAGTTAATCCTGATAAATAGAATCATATGCTGATTGGAGAAGGAGTATAAAGCAACTACCAAGCCAAATAGGGATTATAAAAATAGCCTGTTTTTTATTTTTTAAAAGCTCATTTTGAAGGATTCCTACACCAATTGTACACATCAGTGAAGCCTTCAACATATATAGACCTCTCTACTGGGTTAATATCACAGCTGTGCATATTAGTTCCTTTTTCTGCCTTTAGATGTGGGCATGAAAGAACAGATAAAGGGAAAAATGTTAAGTTTTCCTAAGAAATTTCCAAAGAAATGAAAGAATTATTCTGAAATGTCTGATAATTCATCCTGTTGCTCTTGCTCCTATGAAAATATGACCTGTTTCCACAGACTAACAGTTGTGTTCTGTGGCTATTCGGGGCACTACAAAACATGGAGTTTGAGGGACAAGAAAGTGGCATATTTAGGAAGAGGGAAGAGTTGGGAAAGAGTAGAAATTCACTCATTTGTCCTTATTTTCATTGACTGTTATTATAATGAGAACCTCTTCTTTGTACAGTATACAAGTCCCCGGAGTATGAGTCCCTTGGCTTTGAGCTAACTGTGGAGAGATTAGTTTCTATTGGCTATCCTCAGGAACTACTCAGCTTTGCTTATGATTCTACATTCCCTACCAGGTAATTTTTCAAGATTTTTTTGGATTAAAATCCTTCCCTCTATCCCCCAAATTAATAATTCCAAATGTATCTCTGACTATGCCCACCCTTAAAGAAAAGAACCAAAAAAGATTCTTTGGTTTGTTTCTGGTTGTTTTTTTGGTTAATGTCAATTCTAAAATTACCATGGACTTTTCACGTACACCGTATCTTTTCTCTTCTTGAATTGAGCTTAGTTTATTGTTACTGAAGATCTATTTATGGGAAAGAAGAAAGATGATTAAAACTGATGGGCAGTAATCACAGATACTCCTACCTTTTGCTCTTGGAGAGCAGTTACATGCTTTACTAATACACTTCACTTGGTCATCAGGAGCCTTCTTGGCAGTTTGCTTTTTTGGATTTGATAGGGAAGATTTAAGATTAAGAAAATGGTATTTGAGATGCCATCATATATGTCCCATATATAGCATCTTTTAGAGGAAAATATAAGCCAGCTCATTTGTCCAAGGAAATTAAAAGACTCTTTTAGAATGGAACCATTGTATTAAGAGGAGTTATAGTTCATACCTTGTTTAAGCTCTTACTCCTTACAGAAAACAGTTGTGATTATTTAGAGTAAATACTTTTTATCTGCTCTGGGTTTAGTTTTTAAGATTTTATTCACTCACTTCAGCCTCCAGGATTATATTGTTTGGGGATGTGCTTGAGTTGTCATAAAGCTTGAATAAGATGGTACTGGTTTATAATGACTGAGTAATAATACTACATAAGATTGTTGCGTATTATTTTTATATTACTGTTAATGTCTTCATTTTCACATAGGGGACTTGTTTTTGATACACTATATGGAAATCTTTTGAAAGTTGATGCCTATGGAAACCTTTTGGTCTGTGCACATGGATTTAACTTCATAAGAGGGTGAGTACATAGAACCTTTAGCCTCTTTCTAGTGTTTTTATAGTGAAACAATATGAAGATCACCTTGTCTCCCCAGATGTAATATACTTTCCTGTTACCTCATCATTAAAGAGCAATTCTTTGCATAAGGATACTTAACAATTATTTATCAGGCAGTTAGGACCCAAACTGACTTATAAATATAGTTATATAGTTGGCATTTTGTGTAAATTAAGTGGTTTCTAATTATACAGCATCCAACAAAGCTAATCTTGAAACTTGCCCAAAAAGAACTGTAGTAGCTTTGACTTATTTGAAATTCTAAGATATTTATTTTCTCCTTTTTAATACAGTTCTCAGGTAGCTGCTCAGAAGAGGTATGTATATAAAAGTGCTTTGAAAAATTTGAAACTACAACAGTGTAAATACTAAGATTTTTAATAGCTAATATATTATTTTTTAATCTAATGAATAGCTTCAGATATTTGGTCATGTGATTAAAATTTTTAAAAACATGGGTTAAAAATGAATAAGGGTGATAATATTTAAAACAAGTAAGAGTAAGCTTTATTTTAATAATCAGAATATTTCCACTATTCTCACTAATTTGGACTTTCCACCCTAGTAAACAGCAGATTAAATTTAGTGTCTACTGTTTTGGTGAAACATCCCAATTTTTTCTTTAAAAATCACAATACCACAATTTGATTCTGTCATGTGGCTTTACAATTGTACATTTTCTCCACTATTACACTACCTAATTTACTACTGACACTGTATTAGGGACAAAGCAACTCTTTTTTTTTTTCTTAAAGATTTTATTTATTTCACAGAGAGCGACACAGCGAGAGAGGGAACTTTTTTTTTGGGGAGTGGGAGAGGGAGAAGCAGGCTTCCTGCTGAGCAGGGAGCCTGATGCCGGGCTCGATCCCAGGATCCTGGGATCATGACCTGAGCCGAAGACAGAGGCTTAACCGACTGAGCCACCCAGGAGCCCCAGGGACAGAGCAACTCTTAAAACCAAAATAGATTATGTGTCAGTCTCTCATAACTCTTCTATATTTTATTCTCAAAGGCAAAGTAGTAAAAACCACATGGTCCACACTGAAACTTTTAAAGAGACAGTATCTTTTTGGTAAATACTTTTTGTGATAAGCACAAACTAACTGTACCAGAGTATCCTTTAAATCTGAGGTCACAGCAATGCCCTATTTGGAAGTGAAGCATCTGATATAAGACTTTCCAGCTCGAAGATTTCCAAGTATACAAAATGAAAACAGTGTGAAGTAAATACCCCATCTTGACACATCTGGGCAGGCCTGTGATTATATCTGCCTTTCTTTCACTGTTCCTCTCATGAGGGAGGGGTTTGTTCAAGATTCATGAATATCAGGAGACAGGATTAGAATGTGAAGCTATTGCAAATAATGCTAGCAACCTAAGCTATTTTATATGTGGCTATTGTACCATAACTCAAAATCCCAGTGAAGATAAACCGAGGTTCTATTTATTAATGTCTGAAAAGGGGTTTTTGTGTTATGGGGAGGGGTAGTTTGAGAAGAAAAGGAAGGAAAGTTGTTCTATAAATTAGTACTGCAATTAGATTTACTAACGCGAGATCCACAGACCCTCTTTCTTTCCTCAAATAAACCAATGAAGTTTCCAAATAGCTCCTTTGGAAGTACATTTAGTAGTGAGTGTTTCAAAAATAAGCCATTTACGGGTAATGCAGAATCATTCAAACAACACATGCTGTACAGTCTTCAGAGTCAAAAGGAAAAGGCTGTGGAAAAGGACAGATTGAGGATGGAGGGAGAGGGAAAGTGACCTATTGAAGTAATACTGGTGGACAAGGCTGGAAGGGAGGTTAGGGCCACATCAGGCATAACCTTACATGCCTTGCCAGTGAGTTGGGGCCTCTTTTTTGGACAATGGCAAAGACCTTTAAAGTTTTAGAGTAGGATAATATTGAGATCAAATCTTTATTCTGCAAGTCACAGAAACTTAGCAGTATTCTGTACTGTTACTGTTTTCCTCCCAACTCCCAAGTCTAGCATTCCTTCCTTCTTAATTTTTATTTTAAATATATGCTAGCCTGATTTGACCTTTTTTTTTTTTTTAAGGTTTTATTGATTTATTTGACAGAGAGAGACACAGTGAGAGAGGGAACACAAGCAGGGGGAGTGGGAGAGGGAGAAGCAGGCTTCCTGCTGAGCAGGAAGCCCGATGTGGGGCTTGATCCCAGGACCCCGAGATCGTGACCTGAGCTGAAGGCAGACGCTCAACGACTGAGCCATTCAGGTGCCCCTAGCCTGATTTGACTCTTAATTTAAACAAAATGTCATTGCTAACTATATTTATAAGTCAGTTTGGGTTCTAATTGCCTAATAACTGTTAACTGTCCTTATGTAAAAGAATTACTCTTTAACAATGAGGGAATAGGAAAGTCTATCTAAGGAGACAGTGTCATCTTACTAAACATGACTGAGGAAAGCACATCATTACTATTCCCTTCCACCTAATTTTCATTACAGAAAACCTTAGAAGGCTAGAAAATGAGATATTCTACAAAGTTATTCCTTACTGGGAACTCTTATTTCAGAAGGTGACTAAGACCAGGAGCTAATATGATTTTCTATTCCTAACTAGAGTCTGTGCCATTGGTAGTTAACAGACCCAAGTAGGAATTTACCCAGATTACTCTGATACAAACTTTAAATTTGATGTCCTTTATTTAGAGTACTTATCTCTGTATGTTCATTGTGAGAACTGTGCATTTTTTAAATATTTTATTTTTAAGCACGCTCTACACCCAACGTGGGGCTCAAACTCACAACCCGAAGATCCATAGTCGCACGCTCCACCTAGTGAACCAGCCAGGCGCCCTGAGAATTGTGCCTTTTTATATTTTAGTTTTTCTTCTTTTGGGTTTCTCTATACTATTTTTGTTTATTAATTCTATCCCCTTCCTCTTCTTGGAGTGTTTCATTTCACTCTCCAGGGTTCTTGAGCATCTCTAACAACTTTTATCCATTTGCTGGTTTTCCTTTTAACCCTAAATGTCCTCCATGGGTCTGTTCTTTTTTTCCCCTGCACTGCAAGTGGCCTCATCTACTACTGTAAGTCTTCATGACTTCATCTTTTTTTTGTGTGTAGATGACCCCAGTTCTCTCTGACGTCTGAATCCCTTTTTTAAGTTCTTGACCTTTATTACTAATTGCCTATAAAAATCTGTTTACTTTGAACTTAATGTATCCAAAATAGAATTCCTCTTACATCTACTTCTTATCCAGTTTTCATATTGCTGTTAAGGATACCACCACCCTCTCAGGGACACCTTCGTGTGAGCATCATCATCTTTGACTCTCATGTCCCTCATCTGCCACAGCCAATCAGTTGCCTGGTCTTGGCCTTGGCAGTCTCTTATGATTAACGCTTCCCTTTAATTTCTTGTGCCACCACTCTAGGACAGACCCCACCTGCTCTCATCTGGAAGACTACAATAACCACTTAACTGATTTCCCAGTCCTTTTTGTCAGTTAGTTTCTGCTGCATAATAAATTACTTCAAAACTTAGTGGCTTAAAACAGTGACTACTTTATTTAGCTCAAAATTCTGAGAGTCATCTGGGCAGTTCTGGGGTTCTGCTGGTCTGGCACGGCCTCACTCACATGTCTGGCATTTGGCAGCCTGTGGCTGGGGTGCCTCATTTCTGTGTGTAGTCTTTTATCTTCCAGCAGGTTATGTCACTCGTTTACTCAGTAGTCTCAGAGGTGCAAGTGCAGCAAGAGTAGGCAAACCCCAATATGCAAGTGTTTTCCAAGCCTCTGCTTGGATACCTAGTTGCTGCTACTCAAGCCTGTATTTGAGGATGGAGAAATAGACTGAGCCTCTTAATCAGAGGAAGTTCAAAGTCACACATTACAATGCACAGGGAGAATCTGTAGCCATTTTTGCAACATAATCACATTTCTTTCTTCTTTTTATCCTAAAACTGTTACTAGCTGAATATTTTTATAATTCAGCTCTGATGTTTTATCCCTTTGCTTAAAAACTGTCAGTGGCAAAAACCAACCAAACACACACAAAAAAATAAAAAAAACCCGAAGCCTATCAGTGGCACTGTGTTGCCCCTAAATGAAAAATAACAATAGCATGATCTGCCTCAATTCATCTTTCTAGCTTTATTTTCCTCTGCTCCCCTCACTCTTCTCCAGTTGGACTAGTATTTGAATTGGTCTACCTAGCCTTTAAGGACCAGCTCCTATGCTCCCTTTTTCATGAATCCTTCGTAGATTTCCTTTCCTCACTCCCACATTCACTTTTTTTCTACCCCTTTAGTTGAAATGGTCCCCTCTTCATTTTCTCATAGCTCTCTGCACCTTTCTTGAGGCAGTTGTGATTTTTTTTTTTTTTAACCTGGTGATAATTGTGTATGTGACTCACCTCCCTTACCAGACTGAGAACTTTTTAAGAGCTGGAACCCGAGCTTGTTTATCTTCGTAGCTACTCGTGTAATATTTAGAACCCTTCCTTGAATGTAGCCACCAACATATTTGAATGAATTTTTGAATGATGAAATTTCTGATAGCTATTTACAGTGTTCATTTCTTGAATATCAGTTAATTTAAAGTTTTTTCTTTCAGACCAGAAACTAGAGAGCAGTATCCAAATAAATTTATCCAACGAGATGACACTGAAAGATTTTACATTCTGAACACACTATTCAATCTACCAGGTAGACTCATTCTGTGCTTATTTATTACGGATGCTTTCCCTTCTTTTCATGATCATTTGTCTTTGCTCAAGGGAGATAATGAAATAAGTTTGAATTATCTCACTTATAGCTTATGAATATCTATTCTTCATTTTTCAGAGACCTACCTGTTGGCCTGCCTTGTAGATTTTTTTACTAATTGTCCTAGATATACCAGGTATGTATATGGTGTAATTTTCTTTTTCCAATTGATTTTTTAAAATTAATGTACAGGGTTTTAGAGAACTGGCCATTGTAGGTCTTTTCTGCTTTTCTGAAGTGAATTTAGTGCTAGTGAGAGATGCCACATTGCCAGCCCGAGAGATGGGACAGCACCAGGAGCTCCATGCAGGCTCTCACCTCCCACTCGGCCCCTCTCCTTGCCAGTGTGCTGCAGCCATGTTTGGAAGGGACCACTTCTGATTGGCTTCTCCTGGGAATGAAGACGGCCAGCAGAGGTGCTAATTGTGACAACTGAGTGGGAGGTTTGTGTGATGATTATCTGTCCAAGCAGAATTACACTGAAACCCCCAACTCATTTCACAGCAGCTGCCCAGGAGCCATTCAGGTGTGGTAATTTAGTTTTATTCCCAGGCCCAGCGAGATTTGATTAAGGAGTAAATATGGTTTATCCTCCCTGAAGTAAAATTGTGTTTAAGTCTTGAACAAGTTATCCTCTCCTTTTTTAGGGGGACTTGTATAACCACTGCTGGAAGTTCAGCCATGTGTGTCAGAGTTTGCTAATTTCTTATCCTCTCTAGGCCTTATCTACTTCAAGGCACTAAATCTGGTGGAGCACCAAGTCACTAAACTAAATAGAAAATAGGCCAAAGCTTTGTACCTAGAGATGACGTCAGAAGAGTCAGGATGAAGAGAACCTAAATTACCAGTTTTAAGTTTTAAATGTTTCTTTGATGGGAAACTGTTTCTTAAAAGTGATGAATAAAAGAACATATTTTTGGAACTGACCTTTTAGCTTCCACTTCAGTGTATTATTCTATCACTTTATATTTGTTCACAATTATTGTATTCCATTGAACACTATAGTCCTGTCCGGTGGTCAAAATGGGAGTATTTTCCTAATTAGCCACAGTGTTTATCCATGTGATAATGGAACCTTTGGGTCCCCGGGGCAGTGTGTGATGTTCGTCTTATTTACCCTCTTTTGGATTCCCTGTCATGTTCTTTTCATCTTTGTATAGCTGTGAAACAGGATTTAAAGATGGGGACCTCTTCATGTCTTACCGAAGTATGTTCCAGGATGTAAGAGATGCTGTCGACTGGGTTCATTACAAGGTACCTAGGAGCTTCTGCTTCACCTTTTCACTCTATGGCTTGTGTTTTATGGTCTGACGTTTACTTTTCAAGCACAAATAGAGCAGAATTTTTCCTCTATTTAAAAAAATAAAAAATGGATTTGCCCCCTAGTGACAGCTCTCTAAAATATTGGTGCTCCTGTCTTTGGCTGTCCTGCTTTCAGAAGTAATGCTGATCTTTCCTTAGTGATAGTGCTTGGCTTCTAGCTTTTATTTCAGTTTATATTTCCCAAACTTAGAAGAGATTTTAGTGTTAAGATTATACTTAACCCTACTCTTTGAGGATGATTATGGGCTGTTTTTTCCCAAATACCTTCTGCTTGACTAATAACACTAGTTAATATCACATTTACTATAAATATACTGAATAAAATATGAAATTCCTTTTGGTTTCTAGTTTAAAATAAAAATAGTTTTATATTTTAAATACATTTTGGAGGCAGAGTCGCAGCAAATCACATCTGCTGCTTTATCATGGCCCTCTCTAGTTTATCTACTTTTCCATTTTGGTAAATACTTAAGAAATGATTTGGGTTGATAGTAGACATAATTTTTCTTATAAACTGTTAAAAAACTGATTTTGTTCTTTTTTTTTCTTCCTCTAGGGCTCCCTTAAGGAAAAGACAGTTGAAAATCTTGAGAAATATTTTTTTTTTGATGTAAGTAATAAATCATGGAAATGAATAACAAGCCTATTTATAATGAAATGGACAAGGACAATGGACTTTGTGTTGATATATGTCAAGTATAATCACCAGGAATTTTCAGCCAGTACAGTTTTTTCTGTTTGTTCATAGGCAAGAAGATCCAGTATTTCATTTGTCCTTTTATCTCTAATGATAATAGCAGCTAGAGTAGTTACTGTGTGCACATCACTAAGTGATTATATGCCATTTTATCTTCCATAGAACCCTGAGGGTAGGTATTGTTACCTCTGTTTTATAGATAAACTGAGGAACAGAGGTTACATAACTTGCCCAAGTTCCTACAGTTAGTAAGGGGTAAGGCCATAGGTCACACCTGAATGTGATCCAAATCATAACCAGAGCTCTAGATAATCTAAAAAATATACATATATGTGACCATTATTTGATTAAATCAACAGGAATAAGGAAAGCTTTAAAATTCCTTGAAGGATTTTTAAAATCTGTAGTTTAGTTAATAGAATTTAATTTAGAATAGAATTAATAGAGTTTAATAGTTTAGTTAATAGAATTGTACCAATGTTAATTTCTTAGTTTTGATCATTGTACTATGGTTATGTAAGATCTGAATATTAAGGGAAGCTAGATGAAGAATATATTGAACGTACTATTTCCCCGACTTTTCTGTAAGTCTGGAATTATTTTATTTCTAAAGATTTTATTTATTTGTTTGTTTATTTCTATGTGGGAGTGAGTGAGAGAGTGTGCCCACAAGCTGGGGGGAGGAGCAGAGGAGGTGAGAGAGGGCCAGAGAGTCTCGAGCAGACTCTGTGCTGAGCACGGAGCCCTATGTGGGGCTCAATCCTACAACCCTGAGATCACGACCTGAGCTGAAACCAAGAGTCAGCCGCTTAACCAACTCAGCCACCCAGGCGCCTCATGTCTGGAATTACTTTATTTTATTTTATAGTTTTTAAAATATTTTACTTATTTGTCAGAGAGAGAGCACAAGCAGGGGGAGTGGCAGGCAAGGGGAGAAGCAGGCTCCCCGTTGAGCAGGGAGCCCGATGTAGGGCTGCATCCCAGTCCCCTGGGATCATGACCTGAGCTGAAGGCAGATGCTTAACCGACTGAACCACCCAGGCGTCCCTGGAATTATTTTAAAATTAAAAAGGAAACATACACAGCTCCAAGATTAGATACTTCTTCCTTTTCTCACAGAGTAAGAGTAGCAGAATGCAATATTTCTTCGAAGTACTTTGGTACAGATTTCTTACTGTTTTCAGTCTTTGTAACTCCTGTTTCCCCTCCACTCCCACTTCCACTCTTGTTGTTTCAAGAGAGAACACCGAGGGGTTCAGGAGAGGTCCAGGAGAATTTGAGTGAAGGAACCTATTTACTGTGAGAGAAGGAAAAGCTGCTTTTCTTTCTGGTCACGTCAGGAGTTAGAATTTCCTCAGGTATCTGCAGATGGGTCTGGGCACTTTTAGGTTGCATCCTGCACATGGCATTTCATTCTGCAAGGTGTTTTATAAAACAAAAGTATACTTGGTGAAGCCATATCTTATACTCTCCATGTAGAGTATTTTGCTGGTGATGTTTAAAATCAGCTCCTTGGGGCGCATGGGTGGCTCAGTCCTTAAGTGTCTGCCTTCGGCTCAGGTCATGATCCTGGGATCCTGAGGTCAAGCCCCACGTCGGGCTCTGTGCTCAGCGGGAAGCCTGCTTCTCCCTCTCCCATTGCCCCTGCTTGTGTTCCTGCTCTCGCCATCTCTCTCTGTGAAATAAATAAAATCTTTAAAAAAAAAAAAAATCAGCTCCTCCTTGGGCGCCTGGGTGGCTCAGTCGGTTAAGTGGCTGACTCTTGATTTTGGCTCAGGTCATGATCTCAGAGTTATGGGATGGAGCTCGGAGGAGTCTACTGTCCCTCTCCCTCTCCCTGCTCATGTGTGCGATTGTGCATGGGTTCTAACATAAATAAAATATTTAAAATCAGCTTTTCCTGACCCTTTACATACCTTATTCATATACTTTGAGATTACAAGGTAATTTAAACTCTTTCCTGAGGCAGACATGAGGAAGGTAGAGATGCTTTTTATTTATTTACTTATTTGGTAATCTCTACACACAATGTGGGACTCAGACTCACAACCCTGAAATCAAGAGTCACATGCTCCACTGAGCCAGCCAGGTGCCCCGAGGTGTTTTTAATAAGCATATTTAATAACATATTTAATAAGCATATCATGTGTATGTATGATTTTATAAATAAACCTACACATTATATATACCATGTATACTACATATATTAATACTTAATTCACGTATAGTGATAATGTAGTCTTTTAAATGTAAAATTCTGAAACCAACCAACCCTTAAAGGGCATCCCCTATTCTATTCCAGTGGACAAAAGTCCAAGTGTAAATGAGTATGTATTTGTGTTTTAGTGTTTCACTCATCATCATATTATATTGCAGGGAAAACTGCCTTTGCTTCTGAGCCGAATGAAGGAAGTAGGGAAAGTGTTCCTTGCCACCAACAGTGACTATAAATATACAGATGTAAGTGCTTAATATTCCTATTTGTCTATACAGAGGAATTATTTTGGCCTAAAGAACTGTGAACATATTGAGGACAGTAGTTTGTTAAGTGAGTGTAGTTTTTTGCCATTTCATTTTGAGAGCAGAGTGAAAAAATATAGCATAAGGGCTACCTCAGAGTGGTTCTCAAATTTTTCTCAATATTTCATTTGACTATTTTCCCTGATTACAGTTGGCTACTTGAAGGTTTTAATTTGGAGGTTACTTAAAACATTTGTGCTGATTAAAATGGCTTCTATGTCTCTCTGGTGCATCATTTATATAAACTTGAGAAGTCACACATTTATTTATTGCAAGTGCCCTCCCTGCTCTTGGGAGCCAGACAGCAATAGATGGTGCAAGGACGTTTTGACTCTTAGCCATCAAAATTTACTACCTTATAACTTAAAAAAAGATTTTTTTTTTGCCATGGTTAAAGCATGAAGAAAAGCCGACTTACCTCCTTGGCCTCCTCTTACTTTTGCTAAGACCGTTACAGATTTATAGTACTAGCAAGCAGCTCAGTGCCGCCCAGTTCTCTTTATGTAAAATCTTGATTTAGAAATGTGATCTGGAGTAAGCAGTCTTACAAAGCCAACAAATCTAATGGTTCATTGCCTTGGTTAATCTAGGAACAATAGTTAGGAGGCCAAGGTATATTATTCCCATGTGAGTCATTAGTTTTCTCGATGCCCTTACCTCAGATACCATTCCAAATGTATGTTCCAGTCCTCTAGGAGAGTTGGATAAGGGTATATGGATGATGTGTCCCAGAAGAAGCCTATGTCCTACTGAGAATGTCAGCTTTGTTTGTTTGATGAAGCATTAATTTCTGGCTTCAGCTGTCATGATTTCATAAACTTAGAGGAAACATGAATGTGATGAATCCTATGTTGAAAAAGACGCGTCTTATGAAAGACGGGTTTTTTTTGTTTTGTTTGTTTTTAGGTGCTATATATCTTTTGCAAAAGTAGTATATGGACCTTTTTTTTGATTTTTTTTTTTCCAGAAAATTATGACTTACCTGTTTGATTTCCCACATGGCCCCAAGGTACTATATATAATTTAATAGACCACTGCTTTTAGTAATAATGAATGCATTTAGTCATCCTGGAATATTGAAAGTTAAGGGAATTGTCAGAACTCATCTAGAAATCTTCATTAAGATCAGAAGTAATGCAGGAGCTAGTATAGTATAACATTGTCCGAGTTTTGAAAACGAAGTAGAAATAAAAGGGAGATATTCATGTTATTTAGTGGGATGGGATCAGAATAATATTATGTAGAGTTGTTAAGTTTGTGTGGCGAAGATAGGAATTTTCAGGTTGAGGAAGATATCTGATTTAAAAGAAACAGAAAATATATATATATATATATTTTTTAAGATTATTTATTTATTTGAGAAAGAGCGAGAGCACATGAGCGGGGGAGGGTCAGAGGGAGAAGCAGACTCCCTGCTGAGCAGGGAGCCCGATGCGGGACTCAATCCAGGGACTCCAGGATCATGACCTGAGCCAAAGGCAGTCGCTTAACCAACTGAGCCACCCAGGCGTACTATATATATATTCTTGACAACTTCTGGATATTGCTCTTAGTTATTGCTGAGTTCTGTGCCAAGAGAACAGTTAGCTTTGATATTTAGCAGAGAAGTCTTCATTCCTGCAATAGGACTACACTTAGATTTAAGGAATACTCATTGCAACTTAGTCACATACTTGTGGGATTTTAGTACTAGGCTTGAGTAAATATCAGTAAATCTATTTGAGATCGCTCAAAAGCACAGTATGCATTGCCCGTCAGCTTGACCTTAAAAGTTTAATAGCATGGTTCCATTTCAGGATGGAAATAATGGTCATAACTTCTAGGTTAGTCCTGTGATAAGCCTGCAATATGAGCCAAAGGCTAATGTGAACCTAGAGCCATTATTCTGAGAACATAACCAGTAAAATTTGCTAGTAATAGTTCCATGTTAAGTTTGTATACTTCGGTTCTAATGCTGATCTGCCTCTTTCTTAATCTCTCTCTTGAGTATTGATTTGCATCTCTCCTGGCCCCTTTGTGCCTCTGTTACCCCATTTCAGAGTGTGAACACACCTTCCTTCATATGTTAAGTTGCTGTGAAATAATTAATAGATAAAATGATTTAAAATGTGTTAATTTATGTTTTTACCTTGCCTGCTTCCAAAAGAATGTGGCTTATAATAAAACAGTGTTTTTAACAAAATAGTGGGATCTTCTGGATATACTTAATATGTCTACATTCCTTGTATCTGAGTGAGATTAAATATTAGTGCCTCAAGGTTAGGAGTGATGTTTTGGCTTTTGCTCTTTCTCATCTTCATCAGCCTGGGAGTTCTCATCGACCATGGCAGTCCTACTTTGACCTGATCTTGGTGGACGCACGGAAGCCACTCTTCTTTGGAGAAGGCACAGTACTGCGTCAGGTGGATACTGTAAGTCGAGAGGATGAGCTGTCTGCTAGCCCATGTCCTTCGTATTTCTCCTTTCCCTACTCTTATTCTTCCTAAGGAAACAGATATTTTTAACTTATTAGCCATACCTTTCTTTTGAATTTAATCTAAGTTTTAAACATATTGAGATAGCCAAATAAATCCAAAAGAATATAATTCAAAAGTGCCGTTCATTTAGCTACCTATCCAAATCGCATCTTGGGTGGCAATTGTGATTGAACAATAAAATATTTTACAAAGTCCATCTTCTCTCCTCACAGAAGACTGGCAAGCTGAAAATTGGTACCTACACAGGCCCCTTACAGCATGGCATCGTCTACTCAGGAGGTGAGTCACAGATTTCCCTTTATTTAGTTTAAGTCTTTGTTCAGACTTGTGAAAGGTTTGGTGTCCTCCTGGCATAGTGCCACCCAAACTCTTTAGTATTCTGAAGATACTGTCTATTGGAGGTAAATGCTTCAGTCACCTACTAATGCAATAGGAGTCAGGAGAATGGGTTTGAGAAGTTGTTAGTATGACCTAATTTTGTGGGTTTTTTTTTTTAAGATTTATTTGAGAGAGAGAGCACGTGCATGCATGAGCAGGGGCTGGGGCAGAGGGAGAAGCAGATTCCCCTCTCAGCGGGAGCCTGACGCAGGGCTTGATCCCAGGACCCTGAGATCATGACCTGAGCCAAAGGCAGATGCTTAACCGACTGAGCCACCCAGGCACCCCAACTTAATGAATCTTTGATTTTCCTAAAAGGATCTGTTTTTCCTCATCCTTTTACCTTTTTGAGGAGGTTCTCAAAGGGATCCTCAGGGAGCCCTTATGGACACAGATACGCAGATTTTGTTGCAATGAGAAACAATTGAACAAAGCCACATTGTCAGATCTCTGATGAGACATGGCGGTGGTACTTTTGGAGGGTTATATTCACTAAGGCTGAGACGTGGTTTTTGTTGGTAATCAAGAGCCCTGGTTCGCACAGTGGAGCTGAAGGCCTTGCCTTAGAGGCAATGAAAGGAATGATGAAAGAAAAACAGTGGTGGGTCTTTAAGAAAAGTGAGACCTTTTCCTAGTCTGTTCCTTGCATATAAGAATAAAATTAGTACAGTATTTAATGGTTATGGTACCTAGAATGCTGGTTTTTAACGTGGAGACATTTTTGTTTTCCCACTGTTCATTCCGTCATTTCAGGTTCATCAGATACAGTCTGTGATCTGTTGGGAGCCAAGGGCAAGGACATTTTGTATATTGGAGATCACATTTTTGGAGACATTTTAAAATCAAAGAAACGGCAAGGGTGGCGAACTTTCCTGGTGATTCCTGAGCTTGCACAGGAGCTGCATGTCTGGACTGATAAGAGTGGTAAGGAGCCATTACTCTTACTTTATATCCAGAGGGCCAGCTGTGAACTCATTACTTTGTGTGTGGGGAGAAACGGACAGAGGTAGTCCCAAGATACTTGGATACTTCCCTCTAGCCAGGTATATGGTACAGAACTCCAGAATTTGAGGAAATAGGGGAGGTTATCTTGTTCAGGCTTCTTGAATTCCTTCCCAGTTAAGCACAGAATGTTGCTATCCTGAGTTATATTACTGTAGCAACTAAACTGTGAATTCCACTTTCCTCTGTAGTCGCATATTTTCCAACCACACCTACTAGTTCCAGTCTCTCCACCCTGAGCCTGTATCTGTGATTTGGGGGCATTGATGGCTCTGAGTGGTAATGTGCTACTAGTTCCAGTCTCTCCACCCTGAGCCTGTATCTGTGATTTGGGGGCATTGATGGCTCTGAGTGGTAATGTGTCTTTTTTTTTTTCCCTGCTCTTCTGAGAATGAGGCCAAATTGTATTCTCTGAACTGTATGCTTTTTTTTTTTTTAGGTATAGTTATGTAAAGATGTTTGACATGTAAGTTCTCCAGCTAGTCCTTGCTGGCATCACCCACAGCTTGGGGAAAGGTATTACCTCAGCTACTTACCCCAGCTCTACTACTAAATATCTTCATGCCCTTCGAAGTTACTGGGACACCCTGTGCTTTCGTTTCCTCAAATGTGAAAATGAGGATAATACCTACTTCACTGAGACTTAACTGGGGTGTAATGTGTGTATAAAGATACAAGTAACAGCCTTTCTCAGCTACGGTTCCTCATCTGAGCCACAGAACAGAGAAATTGATTTGCATGATTTTCAGTTCTCCCAAAAAAGATAATTTGTTATATACAGTAGACCCATTAGGGCTTAATTCTCTTTGGGGAAGGCAGATTGAGAAGGACTAGAACACCTCGAAAGCATGCAACAGATACTGGCTGTTGCTTGTCCTTAGTGAGACTTTCTGGTTAGCTTTTCATCCCCCTTTTCAACTTTCCACCTAGGAAATTCTATAGATCTAGTTGATTTGGCTCTATTTCCTGGACTTGTGACCCAGGACACCTCACCTCCTCCTCCTTCTTGGACCTGAAAATGGAACTGGTAACAGTTGTTTGCTGACACACCTGACACAGGATGCGAATTAGCACTTTGTAAGCTCAGAGTCAGCATCCTTTTGGAAAGGAGAGTTGTAGCCAGCGGTGTTGAACTAGGAGGACAGGCAGTTAAAGAAACCAGGGCAGGAGTGGGTTTTCCTGAAGTAGAAGGAAGTCATTTTGTACACTCACCTGTAGCTTTACTTTTTGGTCCTATCTGCAGCCTCTTGAGTTTGGGCAGCAATTAAAAGCTGAATGCTTTTTATTTAAAACATTTTTCTTTTCCTTTCAAACTTTAGCACTTTTTGAAGAGCTGCAGAGCTTGGATATTTTCTTGGCTGAACTCTACAAGTAAGTTTCTGTGTCTTCCAAAAAAAAAAATGTTTTCCCTAACAACGCTCTGCCTCTTCGGGAATCACCTACGTTGGGGAGATGTCTTTTCTGGAGATTTTCAGTGGAGTTTTCTTTGTCTTCAGGCATCTTGACAGCAGCAGCAACGAGCGCCCAGACATTAGCTCCATCCAGAGACGCATCAAGGTATCCAAGTGGGATTGGGGAGGAAACTTGGAAGATCAAGTTTTGCTTTTTATATTTCTGACTTGGCACATAGCCAGCACTCAGTGTTAGAATTCAGTCTCTTGTCTGTTTTAGAAAGTGACTCATGACATGGACATGTGCTACGGGATGATGGGAAGCCTGTTTCGCAGCGGCTCCCGGCAGACCCTGTTTGCCAGTCAGGTGATGCGATACGCCGATCTCTATGCAGCATCTTTCATCAACCTGCTCTACTATCCCTTCAGCTACCTCTTTAGAGCTGCCCACGTCTTGGTGAGTTAACACATAGGCTAGTAGTTAAAATTAAGATATACTCTTACTGCTGAGATCTGCAACCAGGTTTGTGGGGTGGCACAGGGGATGTTTTCAGATTTTGTCAGAGCACAAGCAAGGGGAACAGCAGGACCCCGGGATCATGACCTGAGCTGAAGGCAGATGCTTAACTGACTGGGCCACCCAGGCGTTCCTGGGTCTGCCACTTCTACTGTGCAAAAGCCCATGAGCTGGTTACATGGTTGCACAAAAGGGATCTCTCAGAAAGTAGGATCAAGATCGAATGGTACAGGGTATAATTTTACTCTGGAATGTATTGTATTAAAAGTTTGAATAGTGAAGACTTTCCTCTTCTGTTAGCATTTATATAAAAACCATATTTTTCTTAGTGCTGATATATATATACTGATCTGTAGTTCAGGACTTTTGGTGTGAATTAAGCATCTTTCTCCCCCATCTTTTCTAGTTTTCAGCTGTAATGATCTGGACAGTTTAAGCGTTGAAGAGGAGAGGAAAAAGATAGGCAGCTTTAGGTAGTTCTAGGAAGACACTTTAGTATCTAAAGTGGGTGGGCGTCTGCACAGCCACCTAACAGGTGGGAGAAAGGGTTAGGATTTAGGAAGCTGTTTTTCTGAACCTATGACTTTGTTCTAGATGCCTCATGAATCAACAGTGGAACATACACATGTAGATATCAATGAGATGGAGTCCCCTCTTGCCACCCGGAACCGCACATCAGTTGATTTCAAAGATACCGACTACAAGCGGCACCAGTTGACCCGGTCGATTAGTGAGATTAAACCCCCCAACCTCTTCCCACTGGCCCCCCAGGAAATTACACACTGCCATGATGAAGATGATGATGAAGAGGAGGAAGAAGAATAAGGAGGAAAACCAAAACTGAGCACCCATTAAACAAGCCTGGCAGGACTCAGAGGAGCAAAGAATGCGTTCTAGCGGTGGGTGGGGGAGCTCCGGCAAAGGTACATCTGGAAAGTTTCTGAAGACTTTAATCATAGAGAGATACTTCTTAAGTTTTGTTTGCACTCTTTGCAGATGGTTGAAATTGTAATGGAGTCTGTACTGAAAGAAAGTAAGGGTAAAGCTGGGCTGAACGGCATGCAGATGGCTCCATCGTGGCTTGTGACACTCTTCCCTTGTCTTGTTTCCTTCTCAGTATGTACTGGATACACCCCGGGTGGGGACGAGTCCCAGAGTGGAGCAAGGGTGATGGGAAGAGGTGATCCAAAAATGACGTTATGTTACAAATTGTGCTCTTACTCCAAAATCTATCCTGAAATTTTCAGTGCATTACACAGTATTGTATATCAGTGGAGAAATATATTGTTTCCATTATCAAATGTAGTCTTCTGTTAAGGTCAAGGTTCCTTTTATAAGCTCTGAAGTGTCCTCTGCGCCTCTGGGCAGACTGGGGGCTTCAGCGGCCTTGCACAAGTATTTGGTTTGCTAAAGGGCTGGTCTGGAATGCACTGCAGTGAGTGATTTTGTTCTGAGGTACAAGTCTTCATCTCTTCTTACATTTTTTTGATAGCAGAAAGGTTTCTTATCAGAAACAATCTTTTTCTCATCTGGGATCAATCTATAGAAAGAAGTTAGCTGCAAGAGGACAAAGGAGCAAGCCCCGTGAAAAGAAAAGGAATCTCCTTCCATTAGAGCATAACTGAGTGAATTTCTTAGTGTGGGCCAGTATGGCTCATGCTATCCAGAGTTCCAGCCTTCTCTAGCCTCTAGGGTGGACGGCTGTAGTTCAGAGTCAAGCTTTAGAGGACGGGAAGAGGGCTCTGTAAGTCAGAACCTTATTAGAGCTGAGGGCACAATCAATGTCAGTAAATTCTGAATCCCAAGAGAAATCACTTCTTGTTTTCAACAAGAATGGATTACTGTGTACTTGGTATTAGACGGCCTCACAGTGCAGAATGGCCTGCAGCAGTAGTGGAGACTTGTACTTTACCCCCCATATCTTCCTTCCATTCTTCCTACTGGTGAACACAGAGGGTAAGTTAGCTGCTCTAGAATTCAATAAAGTATAATATTTCTAATCCTGACTTTGACCCCTTCCTGTAGCATAACTGTAATTAACCATTGGTCTTCAGGTGGGTTTAGGTTTGGCTAGTGACATCAGTTTGACATTCTCTTAAAGGAAATATAGTCTGGCATGACTAATGGTTCCAGTACTTAAAGAGGTCTCACAACTTTTCCATGGGACGTTTTTTGGTACAGGACTATGAGATAAGGCTTTTTAAAAATGATTTTATAGGAAGGGAACACAGTTCAGTAACATAGCCAAGACCATATCACCTCATCACTTTCAGTATATGAGCTTTACATTAAGTTATGTCAAGAAACATTCTAACTGGTATCCCTTAGGGGAATATATGCTACTTTTAAAGTAATCAGGTTACTGGGGCACCTGGGTGGCTCAGTCAATTCAGTGGCTGCCTCTTTTCGGCTGAGATCCTGATATCCAGCTGCACGCTCAGCGGGGAGTCCACCTGAGAGTCTTTCCCTCTGCCCCTCCTCCCCACTTGCATGTGCTCCCTCAAATCCTAAAAATAAAAATAATCAGGTTACAAATGCTATTGCAACTAGCACTTAAATACTGTCCCCATTTTAGAGAGTATGTTTGTGGTCACCCCAGCTCTCATTCAAGATGGGAGATGTTGTCCAGTTTGACACAGTCTTAAATTTGCTCAAAGCCAAATAATTTTGAAGGGACTTATTACAACTACAGAGCCTAACTTCTAATAGTACATTTACATATTTTCCCTTTCAGAGCAAGGATCATCTTGAACACTTCGCTTTTAATTTACCACTTTTTTTTGTATTGTGTTATCTGCATAAGATCTTATCTTTGTAAGAGTTTCTTTTTCGCCAGATGTCTGACAGTGGATCCAAAGATCGAGGAGGAAATAGCACATAATTGGAAGAATTCCACTGCTGGTCAGAGCTTTCTTCAGGACCACCAAAATCTATTTTAAAGAGCTAGGATTCCATAAGCATCTATGACCCAGAGCAGAGTGTTGCTTCTCTGCATATTATTCTTGTTAGAAGAGTGTGCTAGGGAATTAGGCGGTCCAGGGGCAGATGTAGTCGAGCTTGCTAAAACATGAAAGTGAGTTGCCAAACTGTTGCCAACAGTTAAGGAAGCTGAACTTAATGTGTTTGTTTTGAACTGAGGCATGTTAGACTATGAGAACACAGATTTCCCAACTCTTCAAAATCTCTTCCCTGGGCATTTGAAAAGCACCAGACACCCCTTCTGGGGTGCTAGACTGAAGGCCCAATCTTAGGGCATGTACAGGCTTGACAGGGACCCTACCACACCCAGCAGCTGGTCACAGGTGCAGCAGACCCCAGCCCTGCTGGGTTCCCTTTGTAAGAGGACTTTCCCCATTCATCTCTACAAAGATGGTCAGTATATTTCAAAAAATTAAAGCGAAGAAAGTTTAGTGTTCTTTAGACCTTCAATTTTCTCCTACCATAAGCATAGCTCTGCTGAGACCTAAAATAAGAAAGCAAGCCCTTTGAGCTTCCCTTTCTAAGGTGCTTTTAGAAGTGGTTCTTAATAGAACTAGAATAACTTGGAGCTACAAATCCTTTAGTCATGTTACTGGTTTTAAGCAGCTACTTTAAAAAGCCACTTGCAGTGACATGTCAGACTTAAAAGTACTTTGTTCATGTTTAGATATTTCTAAATCAGATTTATTTATTCAAGAAATATTTTGTCAACAACTTTAAAGCCCTGCAGTTTTTCCAAGGCTGCCAGAGCATTTAAAAATACTCTTATTCACCACAAATAGCTCAAGACAAGTAAGTGCATATCTAAGTCTGCATTAAGGGTGGGAGCCTTGTACACATTCCGTGTTATGGAAACTATTTAACCTTTCTTTGATAGTGGGAAAAATGGTAACTATGGTCCAGCTATTGCCATAGCGTCAATGGCCCAATTCCTCACTTGGTTTAGAAGTTTATATCTCAATACTTAGGTTTCTCAAGACATTTTTATCTTGGTGACTAGAGAATAGGGCACGTCTCAACGTTTTTTCTTAAATGGAACAATTTCAAATGATACACAACTTTGGAAGGCCCTTAGAATGAAATCTCTACCGTAGAGCTACCCAAGCAGCCTTAAAAACAGAAGAAAAATGACACACACACTACCAGCAAACAGCAGGGAGGGGTCATGCCCAGCAGCCAGGAAGCAGAGCCAGGTGACTTCCAGTAAAACCCACAGCATCCCATCCTCCACCTCCAGTAACGTGACCAAGCATTTCACACTGTTCTCTCACTGCTGAATACGTAGAAAGAGAAAGCAAGTCCTCTAAGAAAATAATGCATTCGTTCACAGAAGCAGTAACGCGTCTTTTTTTCTGTAACCTGGCAACTCACCCATTTTTCCCTGTTGTCAGACACAATAGCTCCATCCCAAAGCCATAGCAGTCTGACTTGTTGCAACAAAGATAGGCAATTTCAAAAATAAAATACATGCAGTATTTTGAAGTTCCTCTGAAGACCTCTAGCACAGAAAATTCTTCCCAGTGGAACACAACATTTTTTTCTCAAGCTTGCTGACTCTGTTACTGTAAGTCTAAGTACTTTATATTTTCTAATTTAAACCAGTTTTTGGTCTGGTCTATGTTCCTTCCTACAAACTAAGATCGCTTTGCTTCATTTTATTACTAGAAAAAAGGATTAGACATCGTTTCATGAATCATAATAAGCACAAATAGGTCCCCAGATGGTCTGCTCTCCCACTAAGCTCTTCCCAAAGCCATGTCTGGCCGGGGCTACAGACAAGGCCTGCAGAGTCTGGGCCAAGATAAACCTCACCATAGGCACTGGCCCAAGCAGCGAGTGCACGTCCTTCCCATGAAAAACAGCGACAGGCCTTCTGAGTCTCACAAGTTCCTGAGATACTTGGAAGTATATGCCAAGCAAACCTTCCCAACACTAAGTAGAAAAAAAAAAAAAAAGTTTATTAAATATCCAGTCCTTTTCTGAGGGAGGGTTCTCACCAGAGGTAATCTCTGACTTGTGGGTATGGGTATTTTGAAGCAAGTAACTTCATTTTTGGACCCACTCCCCTCAAGTCAATGATGTAGCAGAATTGTAGTAAGGAAGCTGGCTCAGTCTAAACATCCCCGTCCTGCGTTGGCCTACTGTTTGAGCACTTCATAATCCTGAATCTCCCAGCAGGAAAAGCACTCTGACGAAGAACTCCCACAACTTCCTCCTTGTATCCTTAGGCCTTAAGAGTCCTCCACTGGGGGAGACGGCATGCCACTAGAATGTCAGAGAAAGGGCCCCATAAACCATTCCTTTGTTTTGGGATGTGACAGTATGAGCACAGATGTGAGGATCTTGGAGGGAAAATGATGAAACAGCTTTACAAAAAAAAACCCAGGAGTTTATTAGCCATCTAATTCAATTTTTTGGCTTTACTAGAGAATTACTGCTATTAATTTGCATTACTTTCCTAAAGTATAAAAAGTTTTCAGGATTCAACTCCAGGTTATGAAAAGGTCATTTAGTTCGTCCCAGTCATTTTTTTCTACAAGACCCTCTGGCCGGTCACTCTGTGTCCTCAGAAGTGCTGCGTCTACAAGAAGTGCTGGGAGCATAGTTTGTTGTATAAAATAGGAACCCCAGAGCTTTTCTTCATGATAAAGCTTCGTGACAAACGGACACATGGGCACCCCACAGATAGACAAAGCTTAGGAAAATCGCAGCAGGAAAAATCACCTCTACTTTTCTTGGGGAATTTCCTGATTTGAACTCAGGACTCCTCTAGACTGAGTAAGGCAGGAAAAACAACAAAATAGCTAGCTGGGACTTGATGTGTTGGACAGAGAATTCCTTCCCTGGCCCTGCTTGCTGTTTTCTTCTCTAAGGAAAGCAGACAGGCTCCCAAGAAGGTAACACTTCACTGGAATATAGATCTACCCCATTCTAGTTTGAAGAAACGAGGGGTAATGACTGGGGAGGGCGGTGTGTCTCAAAGCCAGTCTCGCCAGCAGTTCTTCACTGAGCTGTCTCCATCCACAGGCAAGTGTATCATGGTTAAACCATGGTTTAACCGTGGGGATCATAAGGGACCAGTCCCTAAGAGCACGAGCCTCTGTGAATTTAAAATAGAGACAGAGTGGAGGGAAAAAGGATTCCAGAAAGACGTGATCTGGGGATAAATCGCCCAGGGGCTGGGAAGCTCCACCAGATCTGCGGGGTCTGGCAGCACCTGAGTGATGCAGTTAAGAAGGAACCCAGAAGACTCTCGAAGGCAGTGGTGATGGAAGAGGATGGGGGCCCCAACACTGGGTTCTCAGGGAAGGGGGATGCCCGCTGCAGCCTCAAGAGCATCTGGACACGACTCACCACGCTCAGGCCCGACGTTTTTGACTTGAGAGTGAACCACCTGTGCCGCCACCACACGTTTCTCCTAAGCTTCGCAGAGGACCTCCGGAGCCGATCTCTTCAAGAGCCAGCGGAGAGCCTTGCACCAGGCCTCTGGTCTTGCCTAGGAAAAAACAGCTTGGACATTTGCCCAGCTCACCTGTGTGCTGTTAGGGACTGAGTGGCAAGTGTGGGACAATTTGAGTGGATGCCCTCAGGGTCTTTAACTAAAATGCTCTGACGGGACCATCCTCCTTGCCAAGGAGAACACCCCCCTGGAACTGGTGGTACCAGACTCCATGGCAGAGGTGGAGGCCCGGTGCTAGCATCCCTCTCTGGTCACAGAAGACTCTGTGGTGTGTGGCCAGAGAAATGCCCTGCTGTGTTGCCATGCTGACAGACAAGCCCAGCGTTCTCACCGGGACAGCCGTGCTACTGGGCAAGGGCACCGAGGGCGGTGGCGTATAGATGGAGGGGGAAGGGAACACAACATCCGCTGGAAGGGTGAACAGAAAATCATCCTTTATCTAAATAGAATAATAGAAATGAACAAA